TATTATGAAGGAGTAGGAAGCTAAAACATTTGCAGCCAGAAGTGCCAAGTAGATGTTGTATCCTGATTTCCTCCTGAGGTACCCAGTCCTCAGGCAATTCAATTCAATCTACGTCATATGAAGAAAAGACTGAAGGCATTGGATACTGCAAAAGCAACAGGCTCTGACAGCATTCCAGCATGACAGCTGAAAGTTTGTGCTCCAGAATGAGCTGTGCCACTAGCCAAGTTGTTGTCATACTTCAGCAGTACTGACATTGACTGAAAAATGAGAAATATTGCCCATGTCTGTCCTATCTACAAACACAGGACAAATTCATTCTGGCTAAATACTGCTCCATCAACTTTAGTCTTGATCATCAGTAAAGTGATGGAAGGTATAGCCAACAGGGCTATTATTGCCTCATTTTCATTGCAATAATATGTTCACTGGTGATCAGTTTGGGTTCTGATGGCGCCATTCAGTGCCTGGCCACATTACAGCCTTGGTTCAAACATCAATTAATGAGGAAAATTCCAGAGGGTGAGGTGAGAGTGACTTTAACGGCATTAAGGCAGTGACTCAGCAAGTATGGCAACCCTCATAAAACAAGTCAATGGGAATCCAGAGTTAAACTCTCCGCTGTTGGAGACATACCTGGCACATAGGAAGATAGCTGTAGTCCTTGGGGGTCAGTCACGTCAGCCCTACAGCATCTCTGCAGGAGTACCTTAGGGTAGTGTCCTAAGCCCAAACATCTATAGCTGCTTCATCAATGACACCCCCTCTATCATAAGTATAGAAATAAGTATGTTTGCAGATGATTGCAGACTTGTCACTACCATTTGCAATCTCTCAGATGCTGAAGGAGCCCATATCCATATGTAGCGAGACCTGGACAATATCCAGGTTTGGACTGATGTGTGGCAAGTAATAGCCGCACCACACAAGTGCCAGGCAATGGCCATCTCCAAGCAGAAGGAATCTAACCACGTCCCTAGACGTTCAATGGCATTGCAATCATTATCCCTCATTATCGATGCCTGGGGCGGTATCACTGACCAGAAACAGAACTCGGCTAGCCATTTAAATGCTATGGCTAAAAGAGCAGGTAACAGAATAAATATTTTGGAATGAGTAACTGAATCCTTACTTGGCAAAGCCTGTCCTGGACCTACAAAACACAAATCTGGGATCCCTCATGGCTGCTCAGCTAATCAATAAGATCATAGCTGATTTGTTTGTGTTTCAAATTCCATTTTCCGATCTTTCCCCAATAACCTTCGATTCTCTTGCCTAACAAGAACATAGTCACCTCTGTGTTAACCATATTCAGTGATTCTGCCTCCAGTACTTTCACAATCCTCTGAGAGAAAAAAAAACATCCTCCTCATCTCTATCCTAAAGGGTGAAACCTAATTTTTAAACAATGCTCCCTACTTCTAGCCTCACCAGAAGAGAAAACATGCTTTTAACATCCACCTTGTCAATACCATTCATAATCTTACACACTTCAATCCCTCACTCTTATAAACTCCATTGGAAACAAGCCTGGCCTCTCCAGCCTATCCTCACAGGACCATTCCAGGTATCAATCTAGTAAACCTCCTCTGAGCCACTTCCAAAACATTTACACCCTTCCTTAAATAGGGAGACCAAAACCGCACATAATTTTGCTCGTGCCAGTGCACCGTTCTTGAGCATAACATCCTTCCTTTTATGTTCAATTTCAATCATAATAAAGGATAGCATCCCATTAGCCATCTTGATTATTTGTTATACCTACATCATAACCTTTTGTGACAAGTCCATTGATACTTGAATGCCTCTGCACCCTGGAATTCTGTAATTGCTCACCATTTGCGTAAAACTCATCTTTTTTTAATTTTTCCTGCCAAAGTGAACAACTTCACATTTTCTCAAATTATACTCCAACTGCCAGATTTGTTCCAACTCATTCTACTTATCTATATTCATCAGCAACTTAACTGAAAGAGCTTCGAGAAGTATGTAAAAAGGAAAAGATTAGTGAGGACAAATGTAGGCCCTTATTGGCTGAAATGGGAGAATTGATAATGGAAAACAAGGAAATGGCGGAGTAATAAAATAACTCATTTTGTTCTGTGTTCATCAAAGAAGACAATTTTTTTCCCAGAAATGATTGGAAAGCAAGGGTACATTGAAAAGGAGGAATTGAAGGAAATTAGTATTAGTAAGAAAATAGGATTGGAGAAATCTACTGAACTGAAAGCTAATAAATTCCCAGGGCCTGATAATCTACATTCCAGGGTGCTAAAGGAGATTGTCATGCAAACAGTGAATGCTTTAGTTGTCATTTTCCAATCTTCTGTAGATTCTGGGATAATCCCAGCAGATTAGAGGGTGTCAAATGTAAACCGACTGTTTAAAAATGGAGGGAGAGAGAAAACTAAGAATTACAGACCAGATGGCCTAACATCATTAGTCAGGAAGATGTTGGAATCTATTATAAAAGATTTGGGAACAGGACACTTAGAAAATACCAATGGTATTGCACAATGTCAAATGGAGTTATGAAAGGGAAATTGTGTTTGACAGGCCCACTGGAGATTTTTGTGGACATAACTTGTAGAATAGATGAGGGAGTATGAGTGGATGTGGTGTGTTTGGATTTTCAGAAAAGTTTTGATAAAGCCCCATGTAAGAGGTCATCAAGGAGGGTGGGGAGGGAGGTATATTTGTTGACAGAGTGAAGAGCTGTTTAAAGATGTTGAATTGTCACATTTTTACAGTTGCAGCAATTGGACCTCACAGAATAGATGATACAGCTACCCTGACTGACCGACAAATTAAATGAGCCTGTCAGACGTGAAAACTCAGTCCAAGATCTATGTCCGTCTTTGCTGCCTTGGTGCCCATGACCCTAAACGCCCATCCCATGACCTCACTGGCAGTCGTGGCCCATGGTTTGGGAACCCCTGCACTAACAACAACTGAAGCAAATCTGCTAGTCAAGGCAACCATGACAGCAGTAGTAGGGGAGTGCACCAGGCTATATTGTAGGCTGTGACTGCTTTGCTGCTTTTAGTATGAATTAGAACATGCAACCGACTTGCAACTGGAAGCTGAAGACTAGGATTTGTTCTGTGTTAACAGATCTGGTGTTGACAGGGTTTTTTTAAAAAAAAGAAGCAGCATTATAAAGTGAGAAAGAGAAATAAGACAGAGAAAGAAACAGCAGAAAAAGATATTGTTTTAATTAACAATGTGAAACACATAGCAAAGCTCTGATTGCTTACTGAAGGCTTTACTACCTATTTCTATTAAATACAAAAGAATATTCTTCCCCAAACTACATGTGAGCTGTGTTCTAAATGTTAAGTAGAAGCTGTTTTTTAGAAATGCTTATTGCAACATGTGTTCTGTTTTTAAATATGTCAGGGTTAAACTGTGTCGTAGACAGCAGACAGGTCCACTTCAGTTCTAATTTCCTTTTTACACCATTAGCTTAAAGTCAATGATTTTTTTTTTAGAAATGGCTAACTACTGCAATATTTTTCACCACAGTCATTGTTATTAGATTAGGGAAGCAGAATGTTTGATTGTCACACAGCTGCAATATTACATTAGTTCTCTGTCTTCATTTCGATGTTGGCTGTTAACTGGTTTTTAGATTCTTGAAAATTAGTAGAAAATAATTTAGCAGTCAACAGCTAATTAAAAACAAACCATTCAGTTAGGAAAAAGCCTGTATAATGTTTTATCCAGATGTTTTCATAGAGCCATATGATATTCATATCAATTTCTTTTCTCATTACTTTCGGAATTAAGGAAGACTGGGGGTCACCAATAATAAAAATAACCTGGAATTAAGGTTTAATTGGCTAAAAAAAAACCTGTTAATTCAAAGGACCACCCTCGAAAAGGATTTTTTTTTACCTGGAAGTAAACCTAACCTTGATGTTAAATATAGTAAACATTTTGGGAAAATTTCTTGCATTTGTAACAAATATAGAAACATGTTCTTTATAAATAGCACTTAGGGAAAACTCATTCTGTAACAACAGTCTGTGCCATTGACACCAAAGACAAGCTGCCTTCCTCAGCTGTTCTATCAATGAAGTTCATAATACATGGTGATACAGTAAGGGATTTTTTTTAATAATTCACAATAATTAATCGAAATCTAAACATTGGACTGATAGCTTTCATATTTTAAGGTAGTTGCAGAAACACAGTGAAATGGTTAAGGCTGACAATCTCTGAAAATTAAAATACCCTGTTTCCTTAGTAACAAGTATGAGAGAGTTCATTAATATGCATATACAGAACAGAGAAAAATATATTAACAGGTTTACAGGAGTCAATACTAATTCTGGCAACCTCAAAATCTCTGCTGTCCATTTTCACATTTTCTTTTTATTTAGATTCCTTGTGAATTGAACTTACTGGAAAACTGCTATTGCAGTTATTTATTACACATTGCATTAGAAATTTAGTTTCTGAATCCTTTACTGGAGGGTGAGAAAAGGGATTTGATGTGCAACTCAATGCATTCCAAGTAGGATTCTCTGTTTAAGTGTTAAACAATATTTAGAAATTCATTATAATAATGTCGTACAATCATAATGGAATTCATTATCCTTCCCTGAGTTACTGATATCATTTGATGAAGAACAAGACAATCAATTGATTATACTTTAGCAACAACATTTCATCACAGTTTTTGGATCAAGTATGTTCATATGTAATCCCTTATGTAATGCACGTAAATCACAGATTACATCCTGATCTTACTGAATAGTTAAAGCAGTGGAAAGGTCTTTACTTGAAAACTTATTTAGATTCTGTGTCTCAGCACAGCAGCAATTTGTGTCATTTCTAGTTTGCTTACAAAAGAGATTGGAACTTGTAAGCTTAGGTAACAGTTCTTACTGTTACATGCCTGAGTGACTTTACATATTTAGCCAATTTGCACATGCACAGTGCATCCTTCACACTACAGAGATAGAATAAAATCACAGGGATGCAACCATACTTACCTTGCTTCCAGGCTTTGGTCCTCTCTTTTTGGGTATTTTCAGCGGTAAAACAATTTTAGATGGAGCTGCCACAACATTTTGCACAGCCAGTTTAAAAGCTGACTGAAGGAGCTCCTGTCTCCGTTTTCTTCCTGGTTTCCTTCCTCTTCGCCCTGGTGTATGCTCTGAAGCCACTTTCATTGCAGACTGCATTTCACTCTCTTCAGATTGTGGTGGCGAGGGAGTAGCAATGCTGTTCAGGATAGCAACTGGAAGAACAAATGACAAGAAGAGAGAGAGAGGAAATTAAATGACAGGGTAAAGATGATCTGAAAAAAATTGCTGCAAATTTCTCAATTTTTTTAGGACGATTATTATTCTCTTTTTACATTGAGACCTCCTAGTGCCAGTTCAAACTATTATATATACAGTACATAGATGTGTAGCCATGAAACAAACCACCTTCTTAATGTAATTACCTGTACATCTTAATAGCATATGTACTTAAATTATATACAGTAGAATAAAATCTGTTTGTATTGACTTATATTACTAACCCAACACTTCTTAAATTAATGATTGCGGCCATGCAAGACAAACCATTTGCTAGTTCTTATTACCTGTTTAGCTAGACTACAACATTAAACCTCTAAAGTAGTCAAGGCAGGAACACATTTATTGCACAGGCACAATAAACTGGCAAAGCCCATCTTTGCAACGCTTTTCCTTGTAAACTAAGACTCCAGCAGCCTAGTGTTCCAGCTGCAAACATCTCATTAAACTAATGCATTCAGGGCAGAGCAGAAACTCGATTTGCCATGGCTACAACAGTGAATTTCCATTACGATGACAGCTTAAACCACATCATGTCCGGAAACCAACCAACCCTGTGCATTCAGAAAAGAAAAAAAACATATTACATACAGAAAATGAAGCCTGTATGTGGTATATCTTCCTTCCTCTCAATCAGCTCAACAAGGAAATGTGCTGTCAAGAGAGAGAGAAAAATATTCTTTTAAATGTCAAGTAAATAAAACAAATTTAGAACGCAACCCACAAAAATAAATCAGATTTGTGGCTATGAACTAACACAAAATAAAATGGTATGTATTATCCATTCTTTATTTCCCTATGATTTGAGATGTAATAGCACAGAATTCTAAATTATTGTATTTTTTCTCTCTCTGCAACTCTCCCCTATTGTTTTAACGTTTGCAGAAGCATGCTGTTTCATGCTACTTGAAATACAATGGTTCTCAATCAGGCATTTTTCTAGTGTTACTCTTTTAGGCTACCCTATTTGGCCCTCCTCCACTGTTTCCATGGAAACCGCACTGAAAATGTCAAGTCAGCACTCCACCGTCTGTCACTAACATAACTCGCCCTCCCATTCACATATGGGAAGCTTAATGTGTGGCAACACATCTTCGCCAGCTCACACAACAGTGGGCAGCACTATGGGGCTAAATGAGCGACAAGATTCCCTCGAAGGTTCACAGAAAGTTACAAGTGATGTGGTTGAGCCCAGTGCCTGTCAGATTGTTGCCCCAGAGTAACCAAGATGAGATGAAAATCAACTCATCTGAGGCAGCTATTCTGCATGGGAAGAAAAAGACATTATTTCTGACTTAATATTGACCTTGTGAACTTCAGCAGGAACATTGTAATGCTACAAATGGCACTACAAATTTAAACAATCCTAGTGTCGAACGCAGAGCATGTGTTATCCATAAAAAAACGTTCAGGGATTCTGTTAAATTGAAATCCATAAATTCAATATTTTTAAAATATAATATGACTGACTTTGCACCATTGCAAAGAATGCTATTTAATTAAAATGCTTTTGTTAAAATGAGGCATGTAGCCTTAGTTAGGAAGGTGGGTGTAACATCAGACCCATTCTGTTACTACTAAGGTTTGACTCCTGGCTTGAAGAGCATAGAATCCTGTGTCAGTGCTGAAGAAATAGAAAGTTATGCTAAGTTCCTTCTAACGTTGTCCCCTAAACGTCTGAATTTCTGAATAACCCGTGTTGATGGGTGCAGGGTGTGGACACCATTCCATAGGTACCACAGTGAACTATAGAGGACTTCACAACAGAGTCCAATCTAGTGATTAATCTTTGTACATACATTGCATTGGCAGTCAGGGCTGCAGAACAGCATTTAAAAACAAAAACTGTAGCTCTTCTTCCTACAATAGGGTCAGTGGGGTGGGGTGGGTGGGTGGGTGGGGGATGGGGGCGTGGCATGGGGGTGGGGGGGTGGCGTTGGGGTGGCAACTGCATAGCAGGCAACAGCCTTGCATACAATAGGCACAGGAGGAGCAGGAAGAACGAACACAAGAACATATATGTAAGTCACACAATATCAGCAAAGAGTAGCAAGTAGTAGCAGAACCAAATGATTGAATACAAGAACATAGAATTTACTGTCTCTTGTGCTGAATTGTGTACAGACACTGTTCAAGTATAAAAGTGGTCTATTTAGTAGTTCAGTCAGAAGGACAAACAATATACGTGATGGCCCTCTAAGGATGTAGTTGAGACCATGTGAGGTTATCCTCAGTGACAGCTTCTGAATTACAGTTTCAGCACAGTCAATGACAGCTATCGTCGCTCCCATTTCAACATTACCTATGCTGGTCATTCATAGCTGCTGTAAGGTTGGCACAAGCCAAGGTTGCAGCCTGTACCACCAAAGCTTCAATTTAGCACAGTTTCTCAGAATAAAGTAACATGAGGTCTGTAGATTGCCATAAAATCAAGACATTTTCACGGGAATTCGCCTGAATGGCATGATCACAAACAAACTGGGCATCAGTCACCTGAACTCTTTACAATGTATGACTCTCCACTATCAGGGGAAACTATCCCTACTGATTGGTGTGACTATAATCAGGGGTGGGGGGTGGGGGCGCATAAATTTAAAATCATCACCAAATTGCCTAAAGGTAAAAAAATGTTTAATGCACAGATTGTTATTAGGACGTGGAATAGCCCGCTAGAAACAGCGATGAAAACAGTATCCAGAAGAGATTTTAAAACAGAAACAGATAAATATTTTTCAAAGTAAGGTCTCAAAGAATATGGAGAGCAATAAAGAGAATGGAAGCTCTTATAGGGAGCCCAGACTATGGTCTTTTTCTGTGCACTATTATTCCAGTGCATGTAGAATTGCATGTGGAATCTGGACTACCCAGAGACAAAGGCCTACCTCTCTTTTGCCTACGGCCATACTAGTCTGAAAATGCCTGATCTCAGAAGCTAAGTAGACTCAGTCCTGGTTAGTACTTGGATGGGAATGCTAGGTGCGGTAGGCTTTCAGGGTGGCATGGTGGGTCAGTGGTTAGCATTGCTGCCCCACAGCTCCAGGGGCCTTGGTTTGATTCCACCCTCAGGCAACTGTCTGTGTGGTGTTTGCACATGCTTCCCTGTGTCTACGTGGGTTTCCTCCCACAGTCCAAAGATGTGCAGGCTAGACGGATTGTCCATGCTAAATTGCCTGTAATGTTCAGGGATGTGTAGTTTAGGTGGGTTATAGGGGAATGGGTCTGGGTGGGATGCTCTGAAGGTCAGTGTGGACTTGTTGGGCCAAAGGGCCTGCTTCCACACTCTAGGGATTCTATGACTCTGAAAAAAATCTTGCCATTTAAGAATAACTTCTGCTCTTGCCAGTTGTCGATTTTAGAATATAATGCAATGCTTTACTTGTGTACAGGCTAAAGATGAACTGATGTTGCTTATATCCCATATTCCAGCTTGGAACATGCCTGATGCAGTGACTAGCAATGTTGCACCTACTGTACGACTTGACTGCAGATCAGTTTGCAATGTGTGGATCGTAACTACTGTGTGCATCACTCCTGTTCAACTCAAATCCAGGAACATTCACTTATACATCAGTCAGAAGAGGTAGCAAAATATGTTCATTACATACCTGAATTCTTCCCCTTCTTCTTTATCCAAATTAGAAAAAAGCTCCCATCTCACACAGCATTTTAAATAACAGAAACTCAGCAAAATATTCAAATTTTCAAATTTCAACTATGTATAACTGATTGCACCTTTAAATTCGTTTGAATTACAAATCACTGTTCAGCCTCAGTGTCCATAGGCAAAGTGACACATCTGTGTAGTTGTGTCATTCAGACTGCTAAATGGCACCATTTCCCCACATGCTAATATTACAATGAAGCTGCTACCTCTCACTGGCAGAAACTTCAATCACCAGAAATTATTAACAGTTCAGGTAGATAGACATTCCAGAGAGCATTCATCCATATCTGTTGAAAGGAAATGTTAACATAAAATGTGAACTCTGTTTTCTTACACTGATGCAGCCTGACCCACTGAATGTTTCCAACTTATTTTGATCTTATTTGTGATTTTTCAGCTTCTGCAGTATTTTGCCTTTACAAGAGGTGGAATTGAAGGTTGCTTATCTGTCATTTGTCACATTCGCAGTTCTCAAATCAGACTGAAGAGTGGCAATGAAGCATTTACTTTTGATAAACAGAAAATTAAAGGTGCTTATTTCCAGTAGCAGAAGGGTCAATAACAACGGGCACATATTTGAGGTGATAAGAGAAAGAACCAGAGGCCAGGGGAGGAAAAACAAATGCACAATCAATTTTGTTGATTTGGGATGACAGTGGATTCAAAACAGAATGAGGTAAATCCTTGAAAATGAAGTGTTTTCTAGACAGTAGGGAAAGGACAGGAGAATGAGAAGAATTGAATGGCTCCTTCCATAAGCCAGCACAGGTAGAATGGGCCAAATGGCCTCTTTCTGTATTTTATTACTCTACGATTTTATGACAAGGGCCTAAAAGTAAGTTGTCATCTCAATGCTGGTGTTCTACATGGCCAGGGAGGATGTAAAATAAATATGAAAATTCGTATCAGAGAACAACAAAAGAAATAAAATTTCCCACTGCTCCTTTAGACAGGTACACCTTTAGCTCATGCATCTTCCCCTGTGAGTTCCACTTTTAAAAGTCTAGAAGAACAGAATGATGAGAGTCAGATACACAGGTTGTAGAGAAAATTTTTGTTAAAAAGAGTGTAGGTTCTTTGTCTGGAAAATTCCACATGGATTGCTCCCATTTTGCTGAGGTGACTTAGCTAAAATACCCTATAAAAACAGGCATAAACCACGCTTCCACTGCATTTCCGGTGAAGTAACACTGGTGGAACAGCAAGAGCTCAGACAAATTTCTTGATCATAGATTTTGGTTATGATGCCATCTGGTACAAGCATGTTAAACCTATGCAAATCATTGCTTAGTATTGCAGCATCTAATTTTGGGGTACCCACAGTAGGAATGATCCATCGCTATGACATAGAGTGCTGTTCTTACTAAGAGAAACTGGGGTTCTTTTCATTAGAACAAAGTGACTTAAAAGGAAAGCTGACTGAAGTGCTCAAAATTACAAAAGATTTTGAGAAGATAGGATGAAGGGGCAGCTTACTACAGTTATACAGGGCCTTGGTAAGATTGTTCTTTAAGTGTTGTGCGCAGTTATGGTCTCCCTACCTAATAGATGATGTACTTGCTATAGAAGGGGTGCAGCAAAGGTTCACTAGGCCAATACCTGGGATGGCAGGATTGTTGTCTGAGGAGAAATTGGTTCACAGAGTCATACAGTAGTACAGCTTGGAAAAAGACCCTTCGGTCCAACTCGTACATGCCAACCAGACACCCTAAATTAAT